ATACGTAGTCTGGTAATTTGGACTTATTGGAATCTAGTGAGTTGGAGTTTCGGGAGGGCGGGTTCAATAACGGATTTCCTTACGAGGTGAAGTTTGGAGAAGGAAGTCAGCCATTTTTCATTCCACTGTTTTTTAACCATATTTTTAATATATAGTTTAATATCGGAGAGAACTCCCTTCACACTCTTGTCCGTTGTTGGTAATGAAGTTGCTTCTTTAGCCGCTTTATCTGCCTTTTCATTCCCTTCTATACCTTTACGTGCTGGAACCCAAACAATAGAGATAAAGGTACCATTGTTTTGTGTAAATAACTGTTCTTGGATACTTTGAATTATCGGATTTTTAGAAAACCTATTGACTATTGCATTTAAGGTAGCAATAGAGTCTGAGTGAATTACTATTTTGCGGTTTTCTCCACTTTGTGAGACTAATTCAATTGCTTTCAGGATGGCCCAGGCTTCACAAGAGAAGCTAGAAAAGTATTCTGGTAACCTGAATTTAAAGGTATTAAGCGGGGTTGTAGATACAATTGCACAACCAACTTTGTTTTCATATTTTGATCCATCTGTATACACTTTTTCTAAATCATGATAGTCTTCGTAAAGAGAATTCAGTTGCGATGAAACTATTTTTGGAGAGATTAAGTATTTTAGAATCTGTGTAGTCATTCTAATAACATCAGGTTTAAAGGATTGCCAAGGAGGGACGGGGTGAATCCTTCTCTGTAGAATGTGAGGAGTTTCCATATTAAATTCATCTTGATAAATTGGGATTCTTTCTCAAAATGGTTTTGAATATTTCACATGGGTTGAATGGTAATCTGTTTTATAAGGGCTGAAGATGTATTTGAAGGCCAGATTAATTGAGGAATTTAAAGTTGAGAAGCCAATTTTTAGACATACTTGTTTCCGCTGCAAGTCGAGGGGGTAGTCCTGCTTCTACAATAAAGCTATTCATAGGGCTTGATTTAAAAGCTCCTAAACATATACGACATGCTGAATTTATAAAAGGGTCTAATATTTTTGTGACTATCAAGGGAAGCGAAAAGCTAACTATCAAGGAACTTCAAATGTGTTTTGAGGAAGTGTTAATTGTTCGAAGAACATATCTCTATAATTCTGAATAAACCTTTATTGAAAATATGATTCCAACGTCAATTGCATTGTTTTTATTTATGTTTCATATTGTGTAAGTACAAATTTACACTTAAACATTTTTAAACAAATAATCACGTTTCATTAACAACTTTCCTTCTTAACGGATAAGATAGACAAATGGATAGGGAATGGGTGGGAATTAATAAGCTAGAGTTTACGTACGGGTACGCCAGTGTTAATCTATATCTATACTAATATATGACACAAGGGCGTTGCGTTACAGCGCGATAATCTCAGAATGCACTGGACAAACAGCGGCGAAACTTGTGTGTTAGCTACTTTTGAAGGTCAGTAGTAGTGCAGGCTATGATTTACAACCATAAACATTAATATATTCCCAAAATAATTACTTTTCTGGTCATTTTTCGCCTAGCATTGAATCACAGATTCAAGAGTGCATCAATGTGCAGTAGTTTGGCATAGAATTGCGTATATGCGTAGAATAGCTGAGGACTTTGTTGATTCTACCGTCAATTTTGTAATGCGAAATGTTTATGTTTAAGAATAATTATGACAATTTTTTTTACTCTGTAACTTGGATACCGATTTTAATTGCATCTAGGCGTGAATGTATTAAGTGTATAAGAGAAGTATTCTTATTCATATATGAAATGAATGGGAAAAAAACGTTGCTTTAGTTGTATATAAAGTATGATTATTACATATTTGTGAGTGAGACGGGGTGGGACTAGGTCGGGTCAGGTGAGTGAAAGTGAAACTTATTATGAATGATTTACGTGTTAGGCTGAAACTGTGATAGATGGATACATTTTTGTAGGGATGGGTTTTATTATAGTGGAGAAAACGTACCTTCGGCTGATGAAGGAATAATTATTTAAATAGATGAAAGTTCGGCAAGAAGTAGTACTGAAGTAAAAGAATAATGAGAAATGGAAGGAATTGAATGCGTATCAACACTTTTATCACGGTTGTTGAAAATAGAGCAAAAGAGCTTTCGTATAGGAAAACTTTGGACAACTGTGTGATCTCGAATTGTTGGTGAATTCAATTAAAAGCACAGGTGTAGGGTCAAAGATCAATTTCAATTTTTTTATGAATACGCTAGATAATAAAAAATGAGAGAGAGCAAGTTTTACAATGTGGAAACTGATTAAAAGTATGGGCATAATACATAAAATTCCACAAAAATAATATGAGTACATGTATTTTTTATTTGTTCAGGTTTTATTATTTTTAGTTATAAAGTGAGTTAAGTTTGGAGGCGGGAATCTCAGTTTTGAAAAATACAAACATTTTTAGTGAAAAAGTGAGTGAGGAAGAAAAAGTGAGAAGATATTTCCAAATGGGAGCAAGGCAGAGAGAGGTTGGGCAAGACTGGGCGGGAATGCTATTGAATAGATACAAGTATTACTCCGTTTACACGTAGTATAGAAAAAGTTATGTAATGCTGCGCCAAATCGATTTCTACATTTCAACGGAAATACGTTTCGATCTGGCTTAAGTAGAATCTTTGAGGTTTTGAAAATAATTATTTAAAATATAGAGGAATTTCACATGAAGCCCCCGGATATTTTCAAAAAAATTCTAAATAACGGCTTCAATTTTTTTTCTTGTAAGAATAGAGTAATAAGAACAGAGACTTATAAAGGCAGTGTAGGTCCAATTTTCATGTTTCTGAATTTTCGAAAATTTCAAAAGTATGAACTTTTTTCGGTGTCTTCCTACAACTGGAAAATTGAAGATAGAGATTTTTCCTTTAAATAAAATTTGTTCACCACAGTTAGTTCTTACATTAATGTCATGTACATTTGTTTTGAAAATTTTAGTATTTTTCACATAATATTGCGTGCAATGTGGACAATTTTAAAAAACTTACAAAAACGCGATTTTCTCAAAAACGGCACCAATTTTTTTCTTTAAATTTTTAGTCGGGATAGTGAAAAATGTACTCTACAAGATGGCATAAACGCCATATTGCTCTATTCTTTTGTTGTTTTTTTCAAAAAATACAAACATGTAATTTTTTTAACCTGCCTCCTATGTCGTTAATATTTGTATTAGCGGCAATTTGTTTACATTATTATTGTATTTATTAGTGCATGTGCTTTAAATTATATTATATAAAGTTTCTCGAAAACTACCGTTTTCTGCGAAAATTAGTTCAAAACTCCGAATTTTCAGAAACGCTCAAACGCCACTGTCCCAAAAATGGCTCCCAAAAATTTTCTTCCAAAACTTCAAACGAATAGCGGTGATTGCACCTTTAATATGATGTAAAGTTAATATCGTTGTATTAAAAAAAGTACACAAATGTAAATTTTTTGAAATATCTTTCACGTCGATAGGCACATTTCCAGCAATTTGTAAACACCATTCTATTGAGAGTATTTGTGAGTTAAAGTTCTTAAAATGACTTCAAATTACGTTTTTCGAAAAAGAAAATCTATGAAAAAGAGCTTTAAATTTCGAATTTACAGTAGCGCTTAAACGACAGTTTTTTAAAAACGGCTCCAATTTTTTCAAAGAAAATTGCCATTAAGGCGAAGTTTTACTGTTCCTTAATATTCTTAAAATAATATTTACATCTACTATTAGGAAACCGAAAAATGAAGAAACTGTCAAAAATATGTACTTTGGGCGGCGATAGATAGTAGCAGGAAAGAGTATGTGGCAAGTTCGAATGGTTAGCCGAGACCATAAGAAATAGAAAACTAATACGGGAAAGTCTGTGCCATTTTGTAGCACCACTAGTTTTTAGTTATAAAATGAGAAGACGGGAACCACAATTTTCTTTTAAAGTAAACATTGTTAGTGAAAAAGTGAGAGAGGAAGAAAGGGTATTTCCAAATTGGAGAAAGGCTGAGGGAAGTTGAGCAAGACGGAACGGGGATGCAATAGAATAGATACATGTAGTTTCCGCGGCAGGGTGAGAATAGATGGAATACCTCTTCGTGCCTAATCAATTATTGTGGTAAATATCCCTGCAACGCGGGGTGCTTAGGCGAGTATTATAATAAGTACAGAGTAAACCTTAGATTAAAGAATTAAACTATCACTTGATCTCTCAATATTGTGAAGTGTAAATACATCTTAAAACAATCAGAAGATCGCCGGGAAGATGTGCTGCGACTGTTTCAGCGGTAGAATTCAAACACAACATGGAGTTTTATAAAATTAATAATTAAGTAATAACAACATTAATAATAAAGGTAAACGACAAAATCCCTGGAAAATGCAACAAAATCTGAGGAATTTTGCAATTTTGAAAAGTAATGAAAGTATTAATTTGATTAGATTTCGGCTTTTGGAGTCGATTCCATCAAGAATCGCGAAAGAATCGAATACCGATTCTGAAGCATAGAGAAGATATACTCTATCTCTACTCTATGTTCCGAAGAATCGAAAGAAAAGAATCGATTCTGGAAAGGGAATCGGAACGTCCCTCCCGAAGCAGATGCTTGTAATTTCGATGATGCACGGGATAAGTAACATAACTTATGTTGACTTCAGTTGACATCTGTCGTATTTCATCTGTGATCGACGATAGTTGTGTCGGAGTTTTATTTTAGTATATCAGTTGGAAACATTTAGATAGTTATTTTTTTAATTTCGTAACGCGTATTTTTATATCTAAGCGTTAATTGGAAGATCGTCAAGTGAACAGTAAAGGTGAAATAGAAATAATATCACATCGCAAAGACTTGGGATTTTGCTGCCTTGCATTTTCTATTTCTCATTTCTTTTCATGTCATTACATGTGTGAACGAATTAATGTGTTTTGAAATATACTAAACTCAAGTATGTGTTTGTAATGCTCCATGATGACAAAATATTGCTCCTTTACCAGTTGCTTCTAAGCGTGCGTTCTCAGTGTCCATTGAGATGGGTGGGTTGTTTAGTAAATCTAAGCCCGCAAGTCGAGTTACCGCCCAAGACAAAGCCGTTTTACAGTTAAAACAACAGAGAGATAAATTAAAGCAATATCAAAGGAAGGTTGAACAAACTCTAGAAAGAGATAGACAACTGGCACGATCTCTTCTTAAAGAAGGGAAAAAGGATAGAGCTAGGTTATTATTGAGAAAGAAAAAGTATCAAGAACAGTTGTTGGAGAAAACAGATGGTCAGCTCGAAAACCTGGAAAAATTAGTACACGATATTGAATTTGCTCAAATAGAAATCCAAGTTCTAAATGGTCTCAAGGTTGGCAATGAGGCATTGAAAGAGGTACATAAAGTACTAAATATTGAAGAAGTAGAAAAGATCATGGAAGAGACCAGGGAGGGAGTTGAAAAACAGAGAGAAATTGATGAACTATTAAGTGGAGCTTTAACCGAAGAGGATGAGGATGCTGTACTAAATGAGTTGGACGAAATAATCAAATCTACACTTCCTGAAGTGCCTCAAAATACTCTTAATGATGTTCAATTACCTGAAGTACCTGTTGATGAACCTGTGAAGGAAAAGAAACCACAGAAAGTTGCATTAGAAGCTTGATAGTCTTTTTATATTGTTATATTAAATGCTTTGTTGTATTAATGATATAGTTCCTTACAAGTCATGTACTTTAGCTTTACATTTAATTTTATTTTATCTTATCACATTTTTATTTAAAATGATTTTGTGATCACAAAGAAGCTTCAAAAGTATGATTGGCTGTGATGTTCATGAAGTTTTGTATGTATACCCCAAAATATTTAAGTTAATTGTACCATGTATTGGACAACATTAAATGCTAACCTTCTCCCCCACTGATAAATGATGCTAATAAAATGTATATTGGAATGTGCACATAATGTCAGGGTTGTAAATTACCTCCTGTACCTGTTCAAACTGTTTTAAATTTATTGTATTCTTATGTGACAGCCCCTGGAAAAATCAAGAATGATTGCTTGAAGAAATCCAATAAGACTAGGATTTTTTGTTGCTCTGTCTGTAAACTATTATAAATATAATGTAGTTTGCATTTGAATGGTGCTATATTAAAGTTCAACTCTTTAATTGTGAATAAAAAATTTAAAATGGTGAGCTTTGATTGAGATTGTGAAGATGTTTTAAAATTTCCAAAAATTGCCTTTTATGTAATAGATGGTGTGATCAAAATATGCAAACCTTAGTTTAAAAAAAATAATTGTTTATCATTCTGCCCGTCATTTCTGTTTATTGTGTTAATTTATGATTTTGCTCCCTGCAGTGTGATGTATAAAAATACTTAAAGTACAGTTCTTTAGAGAAAGAACATTAACTTATACAAAGTTCAAAACCACAGTAGATGAGCTCAATTGCAAGTAATTTTTATTAAATTTTGGTCTGTTTACGAAAAAAAAAAATTCAGAAACAGCTATAGCTATTGGTAGCTGTGCACTGTATATGTGGCTTCACCTGTCTCAGCTTGTATTGTTTGGATGTATGTTAATGTACAAGTAGGATTCTTAAGGGTGGTAATGAACGAGAAGGAATGACAATTGGTTGCCAATTTATGATCAGACAGTTCCCCTTCAGAAGCAAATGAAAGATGGTGCAACTCGGCGTATGTACTAAATTTCATAATTGAAAATTATGAAACACTTCTGTACTACATGATTTCATCTGGAAGAGACCTTTAAATATTGTTCTTTGTGACTCACCACCTACATTTTAAATAAACAAAGTGGATTTGAATCTATTGGGCAGAGCCAAGTTCTGTCCCCAGTATCTTGAACTTTTTGTATAATAGCTTATCTTATTTCCAAACCTATCCAAAAAATTAATAGTGGCTTGACATTGTTGATGGTACTCAAATGTCATTTTATAACAAAATAAATTTTCAATTAGTGAAAGTGTTTTCCCTATTTTTATTACTTTTGAAGTTCGCTTATTTTCTCATACATATAGTATAAAAAAAGTATCGTAATCCTAAGAATTTTTTTTAAAAATCATTGTCAAGGTTTCAAAGGAAATACATGAGGGACAGGGTTCTGATAGTGAAAAAGTGTGTGAATGTGTGTGTGTGTGTGTGTGTGTGTGTGTTTTTCCCTCTCCCTAAAACATCTGTGAACAACAGCAATTTTCTCAAAAATAAACTTTATCACAAGGTCCTGCAAATTTGAAGTGGAATTTTTAATGTTATGTAATTTGATGAAACTGCATTACATGAAAACTACATTTTCAAAATTTTAGTAAGGTACAAATTGTATTTTCATTAAATCTCTTAATTTAAAAAAGACTAGAGTTCAACATTTTTGGCTCCTTCGTACATCAACACAGAAACTAGAAATTTATTTCTTAATGCAATCTTCAGATAATCTCTTATGAAGTTGCTCACTTTTAATAGTTATATTTTTAATAGAAATTTGAATTTTGAAAATTCCTAATTAAAATCTCTCACACTTCTATTGCTGTAAAGTCTTTCAAGAGATAGCTGAAGAATCAATAAGATACAAACACATCAAAGAATATGAGAAAGGAGGTAGGAGTGTGACATTGCTCAAATGCACAGAAAACTGTGATGCAACAAAGAAAACAAAACACTTTCAATTTATCTCAATGTTACATGGTATCTAATTAAATGATTTGTATCTTCTTTTATTTTGAGGTATGTCAACAGCCAGGTCATTAGCGACCACTATAGATTAATGATATGGTGATAGTGAGGGTTGAAAGAACAAACACAAATACAACAATGTCTGAGGGAGAACATGATTTGTATCTTTGATTTAAAATAAAAGAAAATACAATAGGGCTGTCTAAAAAATATTGTATGACACACATGGTAAAAGTGATTTTATTTTGCTCATAGCATTGGCTATGGTTATGGTATGGCGGAGGTGCTCAAGCACAGGCTGATAGGCACCAGCTTATCAGCTTCCTGTTGCAACATTCCCTACCCACAAAATAAAATGTCACTTTCACCACTCATCATTTATAACTATTTATGTAAGGAATATTTGAAAAAGAAGGTTGAAATGTATTCATCCTAAATAAAAAGTTATTTTAATCTTTCATTTAGAATCTTTTGCTGTTTTTTTAACTTACACATTGAAGTCACAGATAAACTATTTAAGAGGCAAAGTAGAGGTGTTATAGAATGGCACTTTCTTGTACTTGTTAGTAATCTCTTTAGCATGGGCTATCTTTTTGGTTTTGCGCCATCCTCTTCCCACTTATCTATTGCTGACTAAAGGTCATTTTTTCTAATTTTTTAGGTACCTTAATGGTAAAACTGAAATATGGCTCTAAAAATATAGAAGACTCAAACCTGGTAGTAAATTCAATTTCTCCTTGAGAAATTTGGAGCACTTCTGAAAATGCACGTCATGAACCTCATTTTCACCCAAAATTTTTTAGAAACTTCATTAGAAATTATGTAAAGCAATTGTTTTCACAAATGCGATAATATATAAGAAATGCCAAAATGTAAATATTGAGGATGTGAATGATCTTTCAAAAATATTACTATTCAACATTGAAAAAATGAAAACGGTATTATTGGCATGTTATTGAGTGCATTTTGCACTATCTGTACAAAGAAATTGAACAAATCTTTGGAGTTGTTTTTAATTTATTTATATTGCTTATATTTCGCTAGAAGTTATGTAAAAACATTTAAAAAAACGTTCATTAATTATGCAGAAAAAATTTCAATTGGGAAAAAAAATATCTCTATCTTTAGTATTATAGTTGTAAGAGGCCATTTAAAAAATGTCAAATTTTTCATTTTTTGAAAAAGAATTGAAAATTTTCCAGGGGCTTCAAGTGAAGCACCCCCAAAATTTAAAGAATTCTTTACAAAATTGGAGGGTCACAATGACCAGGGAATAATTTAATTTGGGCATAAATCCTATGAGTAAAATAGGAACTAGTGTTGATCACAGACAACAGACACACATGGACAGAAAAAATGGAAGGGGATAAAGACAACAAAAATGCTGTTTTGGGTATCAAGAAACCACAAAATGTGGATTCCGACTATACTGTGTTTTAAAGAAAGTAATTTAATACATATAGAAGCAAGAAAAAACCCTCTTTTACGGTTAGGGAGATACAAATTGGTTTTTTTCATGGAAGAAATGCCACTTTTCAACATAGCATTTTGTATGTTTCTCTATACTACATACTCCAGTCACATATATGACATTCTCCTGCTATGCCAAAGGCTGTTAGAATAATCTCAGAATCACACATATTAGTTATGTGTAATGTATACATTATATATTTTTTGTATTCCACCATTATAGAACCTTTTCTGTTGAAGGAATTGTTCATAATCAGGCATTTTACGGCACAAATGACGTATTAGATATCCAATTTGGGTAGGTAATGTGAAACATTATGCTATTATAATCAGTTTCGTAATGAAGTACTTTACTGCTCTCGTGTGGTAATGAACTTTATTATAACACTAGTGCAGTAATGGCATACGAGTAAGGTTATTCTGAGACGAGCACTAGTCCATGGTCTACTGTTGAGAATAACAATAATTATTCAAATAATTTATTATGAAAATATCTTTGTTAACAATTTTTCAAATAATAACATGTTTTAATTACTTATTATATACATTAACAACAAATTTCATGCAATTCAAAATTGTAATTTCTGATGATGTTAAAGCCTGACAATTCATATTAGTATTTGAAATACTATTTTCCCCCATAATTTTCATAGCTATTTGTTTCTTGTTTTCTACTGACGATTCCACATACCCTTCTGCAACAGAAGATGACTTCCATCCACCGTGCCTCTTCAGCATATCCATATCAGCACCTGCATTTGCTAGTAATGAAGCGGACGATCCCCAAAATCAATGTCCTGTAAATTTGTCAGGGTTCTGCAAACCAAGATACTTTGCTATTAGCTTCAGAATGCCTCCAAAAGTATTTATTCCAACAGGTTGGCAAGTACATTTTCCATTTTTGTAAAATACAAAGAAACGATCGTGCTTGACATTTTGAGGCCAAAGGTGAAATGTTTCTAAACAGTTAAATTTTTTAATATTCCCTTCACTAATTACAAATTCTTATTGTTTGGTACATTAATTAAAATACGTGTTTGTCTATCCTCTATAACTTACGTATTACTATATTTATTTTAAGATTCTTTAACTCATCTCTATGGCAAGCGCCAAATATACCAATTATTAAGGTCACCTTCATCAACAAATAATTATCGTCAGCTTCTATTAAAAATTTATGTATGTGTTCTTTTGAAAATATCTTTGACTTTTTTGTTTTATATCCTTTCCTTTTCTTTTTTAAAAATGCTAAAAACTGGTTAAACTTACTTATATCAATATTATCCTTAACTAATAAAGTACTCTTCTGCATAGAAAAGTGGGTCCAAAGACTACTCGGTTTTTCCTTTTCTTACTTGCCGGAAAAGTAAGCCATTAAAACTTTTTCTGATATGCAATGAACGTTTTTGTTTTCACACCAATCCTTAAAACTTGAGTACTCACACTCATATTTCTTCTTTGATTTGTATGGTAACAAAGAATCTATAGCAGCATTTGCTGCTATTTCTATTTTTGAGTCTGAACTGCATTCGCTCATGTCGAAATGTGTACACCATGTGCATTTCAATTATTCTCCTTGTTAAGAACAGTGTTGCCACTTAAAGGGGAAAAATGTGAATACAAAATGAAAATTTTAATTTTACATCTAATAAATTTTTACAAAGTGGATAAAATGTTGTACGATATTCGTGTCGTAACATCTGATTACAATACTCAATTGGTTACCAAATTCATCCCAACGGACTCGTTTGGCAATTTTCCAATCTCGTATTTTAATCAGATGTATTACGACACTAATATCCTAAATAACTAGCATTACATCATACATTCTCCCAAATTATAAATAAAAGAACTTGGTCGAAGAGAGTTTGGAATGGGTATTTTATAAATACAAACATTTTCATTGTTTTAACTAAAAAATCTCACCACTTGAATTTATTAATAAAATACACATAAAATATTACTACATAATATTAATGAATGTGGAATGTCATTATTTAATGCTTTAAAGTCGAGTTAAGCCCCATTGGAATATCTTTTTTCTCTGACATGAAATCAATTGAAAAGGAAAATAAATATTTATACACATTTTCATAATCAAAGAAAACTTATTAATTTAAATACATTTTGTCATGACTACAATCAGTAGAGGAATGAAATAAGATTCCAGATAATACTTTATTATTAAACGAACACAATTTCTTTTCTTGATTCTGCTTCTTGCACTTTAATTTGGCTTCTCTTTGTCATTGCTTGGACTGCAACAGAATATCATAGCATTAAGAGATGTCATATTACAATGGTAATAGTATATGACATTTAACGACTACCTTCTGTTCTTCTGCTGATTTTCTTCTTTTTCTGGTTGACTACTATCTTGATCTTGAAGAAGTGCTGCAAATTACCATTACCATTAATCAACCTGAATGTTGGTGCTTTCTGATGCAACTTATCAACTAGGATACTGTACTCTTTCTATAATAAGCTTAGGAATGATGACCATTTTATGCTATTACTTAATAAGAAATCATGAACACAAAACTCTGCTATTGCTGAATGCATACAGGCCTACATCAAACATATTTAAACTGAAATACAAATGATCATAGCTTATGATTTTGGGGGGATTTTAAAGAAATTTCTTCTTCTTCTCCCCCCCGTTTAGAGCAATCCTTTTTAGTAGACAAATTTTATGTTGTGACAAAAGCAAATGACCTATTTTTAAATGGCGGTTTTTCTTTTCTGCATTTTTTTGTTGATTTCCACTAATAAGTCATATTTTACCTTTTTACAGTCATTTTTAAACCATATTTTGCTGAGATCATTGATTTTAATATCATTTTAATGGTAATTGCTACAAATAATATCTCTGAGATGCAACAAATGTTCTCCACAGAATTACTCAGCAGCCTATTTGATTTCTTCGCTCAGAAATTGTAAAGTCAGCCATTTACTTAATCTAAAGTTCCAGTGATGACTATCTGCGCCATTGTCAGTTCCGCTGGTTTTGTACAAATTCAAGCCATGTAAAAGGCCTTGTTCATTTATGATAAATTTATAACATTAGTTTCTAGGCACACAAAATAATTAAATGGAAAAATTAAAAATTTAATACATGATTTCGAACCCAGCATTATATATTAGATTGTCATAAAGTTTCTATTTATAGTGGCTTTTGTCAAGTGAATTTTTAGGCAGACATTTTTAAAACCATTAAAAAAAAATGTTAAACAGACAAACACCAGAGTAAGCACACAATTGAAATACGAAACGAGTTGGTTATATGGGTTGGCAGTGGAAATTATAGAACAGAGAAGGGTAGAAAAACAGTGGTAATGGAAGAAAGGAACGAGACGAATAAATTTAAATTTGAACAGGAAAGGAACACAATTCTGAGATGGAAAATTTACATACCTCACACTCAAATGTCTATGTCGTTTTTTATTTTATGTAATACATTATCATAAAAACAGATTTGATTACTTTCAACTTTTGTATTCATTGTACAATTTAACTTATGATGATTTTGATGAGACATAAGTCTAGAAGAAAGATTAGGAGGAAAAGAGAGCTGTATTTAAAATGGCTTAGGGACAAAACCACTGAAACTAATTTACAGTACAAAGCAATAAGTAGAGAAGTAAAACAAGAAGGGTTATCAAGGAAGAATAAATTGTGGCTGGATAAATGCAATTATATAGAACAATTCATTGGTGGAGCACAGAGCCTGGAAAGTAGTTAAATTATTAAATCAAATGAAAAAAAAAAAAACAATATTGCATTATCAAACATTAGAATTGATAAACGGAAAGAGTATTTTGGAAGACTGTTGCTGGAAAACAGAAACTTCCAGTCACAGACGGAAGTGAAATTTGAGCATAGGGTAGATCTGACAATTAAAGATTTAGAAAAAGCACTTAAAATCATGAAATCCAATAAGTCACCTGGTCCGGGAGATATAACGGCAGAATTACTGAAATATTGTCCCTATAAACTGTACCAAATGCTCAAACCTATGTTTTTAAGGTGCATGAATGGAGAGGATCCTCCTCAGGAGTGGTGAACGTCTTACCTAACACCAATCCATAAGAAAGGATCTAGAGACATGAAACAAACTACAGAGTAATAGCAGTTATTGGATCTATAGGTAGACTGTATATAAGCAAAATAATATCAAATAAAATAGAAGAAGAGATAAAAGGAAAAATAGGAGAGGAACAATGTGGTTTTACTGCTGGTAGATTGATCATAGACAATATATTTACATTAAAACAACTTATAGAAAAGAACAAGAAGATGTAGGGAAGTTCATCTGGATTTCATTGATCTTCAGAAGGCGTATGACAATGTAACGGTTGCTAGAGTATGGGAAGAAATAGATGGACTTAAAAACCATGAAAACTTAATTAGAGCCACACAGAATCTATATAAGTAAAAAAAACCTCTCAGATTAAGATCTACAACAGGCTCTCGGATCCATTCCCAGTCAGTAAAGGTCTGCGTCAGGGTTGCTGTCTTTCCCCAACACTGTTTAAAATATATCTGCATCAAATTTTACAGCAGTGGGAGAAACAATGCAGAGTAATGGGAATGACGATTGGAAAGGATAAATTGTATGCATTATATTTTGCCAATGACCAGGTAGTAATTGCAGAAGATGCAGACAATTTGAGTTTTATGATCCGTAAACTCAATGAACACTTTTTAAAAGCAGGACTTAATATTAACATGGACATATCTGAATAACTGGCAGTTGGTAACAATGAGATAAAAGATCTTCGTCTGGAAAATGGAGGAAAAATGAAAGTAGTAAACAAATATAAATACCTAGGTGAACTTTTTAACAATAAGGGAAATAGCATAGAAGAAACAGAGACAAATAAGCTTGGGGAGAAACGTAGTATAAACTTGTGAAACAAAACCATCACTAACTCTACAAAAAGATGTCTTTACTCCTCACTAGTTAATAGTGTTACAACATATGGTTCAGAAGTTTGGGAGATTGATAAAAGAACAAAAAGGAAGTTGCTGGCCCTTGAAATGGACTTCTGGCATAGAAGTTGCTGTTATAGCAGATGTGAGCGAATCAGGAACGACAACGTAAGAAAGAAAATGATTGTAAAAAAATGTATCCTTGACAAAATAGAGAAAAAACAAATCGTCTGGTACGGTCATGTTATGCGAATGACAGATGAAAGATGGCCAAAACAAGTCCTGCAATTGGTGCCGGAAAAGATTACATTTTGTATCAAATTTCTTGTGTTGGTTGCGAACTCGTGTCAAATTGAAATTTAGAAAAATGAACCTGATGAAATGTCTTGTCACGTAATATAAGGCATCAATTCCATTCAATTCAAAATGAATTGAGCAAAAAAAAAAACAAACATCGAAACAAATAAAATTAGAACATAGAATTGAACATGATCACTGATTTTATTATGAGAATGCACATAATATACAGATATTATTGCAGACCAAGAATATCCTACTTTCTTGGTATATTTTACGAAATGAATCTGGGATACATCCTACTTTCTTGGTCAATTTTTATCAATCTGATTCTTGTAAGTGAGCTTACATCCTATCTTAAATTTAATTTTATGCCCTTTCAAACTTCTAGAAACAGTGAGGGAACATCTACGCTAAGGGGACAAAAGTCATGGCATAGCAATATGCAAATAAACAGATGGCAGTAGAATTGTGAATAAAAGGGCATGCATTGGCAGAAATTTCATTTGTACTCAAGTGATTTTATGTGAAATGGTTTCTGACTTGATTATGGCCGCATGCCAGGAATTAACAGACTTTGAACGTGGGATTGTAGTTGGAGCTAGACGTATGGAAAATTCCATTTCAGAAAATTATTAGGAATTTCAATATCTTAAAATCCACAGTGTGAGGAGTGTGCCAACATTGACTAATTTCAGGCATAACCTCTCACTACCGACAACACAGAGGCCGTTGGTCTTCAGTTAATGACAGAGCACAGCAGCATTTGTATAGAGTTGTCAGTGCTAATAGAGAATCATCACTGCATGAAATAGCCACAGAAATCAATGTGGAATGTACAATGAATATATCCTTTAGGGCAGTGCAGCAAAATTTGGCTTTAAGGGACTATAGCAGCAGAAGACTGACTCAAGTGCCTTTGCAAACAGCAACCTGCAGCAACTCTTCTGGGATAGTGACCATATCTATTGTACCCTAGATAACTGAACAAACCTTGATCAGAAGAGTCTTGATTTCAGTTGGTAAGAGCAGATGGTAGAATTCAAAAGCAGCACAGACCCACAAAGCCATGGACTCAAGTTCTCAACTTGTGTAAGCCAGTGGTGTCTCACCTGTTTTATACGGAATGGACAGGGTCCTCTGGTTCTAATGAACTGATCATTGACGAAAAGGTTATGTTCAGCTACTTGGAGAGCATTTACAACCATTTATGGAATTAATGTTCACAAACAACAATGAAACTTTAATGGATGACAAAGCACTATGTCATTGACACATTTGACCATGATTGGTCAAAGGATATTCTGGGCAATTCAAGCGAATAATTTGGCAACCGAGATCACTCAACATGAATCCCAACAAACATTTATGAGACCTATACAAGAGGTAGTTTGTGCAAAAAATTCTGCACCAGCAACAATTTTGCAATAATGGAGTTTTCAGGCAGCATGGCTCAATATTTTTGCTGTGGTCTATAAAGTTGAGACCATACCATATCGAGTTTCAGCACTTCACTGGGCAAAAGGAGGTCCAACACAAAATATTAGGAGGGATCTCATGACTTCAGTTTAATAAGGTAGTATAATACATGGACCATCATCATTTTCTTTCTCTCTTTTAACATCAATTCTTAAATTAAGTATTCATTATTAATGTATTTCCTAGCAAAGGAGGTAGAATAATTATTTTGCAGTAAGAAATTAAAAACCTTGTTGAATATTTTTCATGCAATTTTGGATTTGCCAATTTGAACACCCTGTCAACTCTGTAAACAACGCATATTTTTTGAGAGAAAGGTTTTTAATGCATATGAAGACTGTGATGCTGCATCCAGGGCAGTGATGGCGACATTTCGACCATCATATCATGATCTTCCTTAGGGCTGAAGATTTGTTTTAATGCTGATTGATATTTTAATAGTTTTTGTTTACATTTGTTTTACATTCAGATGAACTGAAGGAAAAGAAATCCTTGTTAACATAGAGTGAGATGAAAAGATTAGAAATATTGAGTGTGTTTTGATTAAATTGTTTAATTTAAATCAGGTTTTTTGTTTAATGTGTCTGTGTTTTTAATGGTTTTAAAATGCTGTCTAAAAAATTTGTTAATGGAAAATCTATAAAGAGAAAATTATTACAAAATGACTCACATAATTAGGTTCATAATACAATTTGTTTGTATACACACACACAACTTTATTCCCTCATCAACCCAGCAAACTGACAGACATCATGCTACTTGATAAAGAAATTATACCACCAGTCACTAAAAATGAGCTACTGCAGGTATGAGCAGAATAGGTAATATCACGGCTCTAGGATTGTATTCTATCCCCAACATCACCCTCATGATTGCAACATCTGCTCATAGTGAAGTCTTCATGGATCTTTAAGATTCATGTTTGAGAGAAGAGAGATTTCCTAAGATCGAAGTAACAACTAGTACTTCTTTCAAAGGGAAGAAATTTCTTTAAAAGTGGGTGTCTAACATGCCGCTGTGCATGCTCAATGCTATGGGTAAGGTTTTTGAGTATATCATCAGCTGAAGATCAGAAGATGCTATACAAAAAGGAGATGGACTTTCAGAGAACCAGTATGGCTTTAGCAAGGCTTGCTTGAAATCAATGCTTGTTGACGCAGATCAGTTTAGGGAACAGATGAATAAGAGGTCCACAGACATAACTTTGGACATTAAGAATTCCTTTAATTCGGCAAGATGGGATTGGCGCTCCACCAAATAAATGTGCCTATGTACTTGGGGTGGATAGAGGGTGAATGTCTTTATCAAGGAATTCCAGTGTACAATACGGATGATGGACCCACAAGGTTTGGTGCTGAGTCCAGTGCAGTGGAATATGAGGTTTGGCTCCACACCCAGAAGGAACCAAGATCGTAGGCATTGCAGACTACATTGTCATCATTGTCGCAAAATTTATAGATAAGATAATAGGAATCTGCAATGAAGACATTGTCAGTCATTGGTTGAATTCCACAGGATTGCAGTTTGCTGAACTTAAGACAAGATGCTTGTAACTAACACGAAGAGAAAATATCTAAGTCTATCATCGCAAAATTTCATTATATCCTGCGATAAATACCATGGCATCATGATCAACAAATAGTTGTCCTCAAAGACCACGTGCACTATGCCAGCAATAGAGCAGTAGTGGTGAATGCTGCATTCAATTGGTTAATGCCGAACACTGGAGGGCCTAGTCGTGAAAAGAGAAAGCTGCTTGCCTCAGCCCTACACTGGCAAGCATCATTTTTCTGTGGATAATTAGTTTGCTATAGTATATCGGCTATTTGTGCTCAAGGTTGAATATGCATTCCACACTGACTATAATGAAACAGTTGGTATCATAGTCGGGATGATCTCAATAAATATAATGGCCTATGAATGACAGAGGCATTATGACAAAAGAAACAGGATACAAAACTGCTTGAAACTAGCAGAATGGCAACAGTGATGGGACACTTCAGTTCATACAGTTGAATCACGGATCAGTCAAAAGCACAATGGTATTATCTCGCACAGCTTCTGGACAGGGATGCTTCACAGCCTACCTTCACATGTTCAATATGGATAATACTCCTGTACTGTTTGTTTCAACCAAAAGTTCATAGTAGTTAGTGAATCAGCATTTCCCAAGAATTAAAATTTACATACTTCTTTTATGATGCATACTTAGGCCGAGAGGACAAATGTCTAAAGGAGTCCAAGAAAACAAGCTGCTTCCATCTCTCGTTGCTGGAGGATCTAATCCTACAGTAGTTGTTGTGGTGGTGGTGGTTGTTGTTTGATTAACTGGAGAAGGAGAATGTTCTCTCAGAGGATTTCCAGCTGTTTCAGGGTTTCTGTGGTACACAATGAAAAAACAATTAGTGTCACAACAAATAGTTATAAAAGATTTATTCTCAGGTGATTTTGCGCAACTAAAAAATAAAGTTTCAATATTTCAAATTTTCAACAATTCTCTTCCTTAACTGTCAATTTGACTAAAATACAATGCTTGGATTTGAAGAAGTAAGATATAAGAAGAGAGAAAGAATTTTAAATACACAACCAATGAACAAGAAGATATAAGGAGTAGACTTAATATCATATTTCAAGATATAACAATGTAATAGTCAAAGTATCATACCTTCAGCAAGTCCAAACATCTGTTATATTTCATACACTAATTTTTTGTTAAACATTTTTAAATGAAGAAATTAATAAAAAGAAATTATATCGATTACAGTATTAATGAGAGAGTAATGTCAATAGGCTGATTAACTAAATAATCCCATTAAAAAAATTATTTGATAAGGAATGCAATTATGATATATTATTAATTTGTCGTCACTGGATGTAAATCAAAAGAATTTTCAAAAATTCATCATTGGATATAAATCAAATTTTAAAAATTACTTATTAATAAAAATTCTATATTCTAATATATCTTAGGGGTTATTGAGCAAATGGAAAAAAAATTGTGCGAGCATAAGTCAATATCAACTTACTTTACATTAATTAAATTATTTGATCAATTGATTAACTTTCATATTTGTTCAAAAGTGTTTATACCTCAAAATACCTACCCAAGTCGTGCTGCAAGAACAGAGGCATTCTGAACTTCTTGATTACTGTATTCCTCAACAGGAGAAAATTGAAATTGCTCCAAAATGCGACGAAAATTGTCCACATCACTCTGCCAACAATGATTCATTTGTTTCAAGACAAAAAATTGAAATTATTTGCAATATTTAAAGGAATAAATACCTTTAACTGAGACTGAGCCTGCGGTGTTAGTGCCATAGGTTCTCTCCATTCCGTTGCTGGGACATGTCTAGGTGCAGAGGTAGAAGGTAAATCTTGCCTTCGAAGAGAGGCAGGCATTCTTGGAGTTGTTCTTGAACTACCAAGAGAAACTGCAAGAGTACAGTATTATAACAATATGTGAAAGCAAATTAAGCTGAAATAACAAGAAAGATAATTGATATTATAGGACAAGAATTGCTGCATGGACATCTTTTTAATTGACATTATGATGCTCTTCATATTCAATTTACACACTAATTCTCTAAATATGATATCTCAGTTTGTATTTGCACCATGGAAACGGTGCAATGCTATTTGCACCATATTTTCCTTGAGCATCTTATTGTGCGCAGCCTACAAATCGTGCAGATAGGTAGTATGATAGAAACTTACAAAGTGCCACACCTATCTTTCCACACCTTGTTATAATATTTTGAAATATTCTTTTGCTATATTAATTTAAACTATCTCTGAGCTACATTTCGAGTTGAGATTTCAGGGATGAAATTCAATATGAAGGTCTTCAAGATTTTAGCAAATTTTCACCAGTGTCTAATGTGGAGATGTGTGTCTGTCAATCATAAATTTGGCAGTTCACAAGCTTTTAAACTCTAATTTTACACACGCTAAAACCAAGATTTGATATTGTTTTTTGAAAGATTAAGATTGTTGGACGCAGCAAGCAACAGGCTTGATAAAATTTGCCTCTTAACCACAAAAAGCTGGGAAAATGGAAAAGGGCATATAACACAAGTCTTCCTGACCCATCACTATCACATTATTTCTTCACTATACGATTTACACCCAGACAATTGATGGAGAAATAAATTCAAAGTTTTACACAAAAAGAACTTATATTCATAGAATTTTCCTGTATTTTACCTAAGGTACACTGAGAACAGTAGGCATGGGGAATGGGCTGTTTCCAATGTCATAATATCCCAACAATTCGGCAAGGTTCTTCAGGTGATAAGCAAAATAAAATCTATCAATCATTAAAACTATGATTTATTTGATCTACAGCAAGAACAAAATTGAAAACTAAAAAATATGTAGAGCAGAAAATTAGGCTTAGTTTATTTACTAATTATTGGGCAGGTTCACTGCCACTGCCATACTCATTAGCCGTGTGAGTTTGCCTCCTGTATCCTGAGGGGTTTGAGGTGGTGTACAGTGTGAGGTGAGGTGAGGTGAAATGTGGAGTGGTGAGGTGAGGTGAGGTGAGGTGAGGTGAGGTGAGGTGAGGTGATGTGATGTGAGGAAATGTGATGTGATGTGATGTGATGTGAGGAAATGTGGTGGGAGGTGAGGCGAGGTGTGCGGGGGTGGGGTGCGAGGTGTGCGGGGGTCTCACACACACTACACACACGCTGCGCAGCGCGCTTTTCACACACCACCAATGACACACAAACCGCCGCGCGCAAGGCGCCTTTTCACACACCACATTACACCACACTACGCGCTGCGGCGCGCTTTTCACACAACACATACACACCACGCGCAATGCCGCGCGCTCATTTCACACACACATACACACACTCCGCTGGCGCGCCGCGCTCCTCACAACACATACACCACTCCTGCGCGCCGCCTCCTCGCACACAACACACGCTGCGCGCCGCTCCTCCACACACATACACACGCGCGCTGCGCGCCCTCCTCACACACATTACACAACACGCGCAGCACCGCTCCTCGCACACTATAACACACCACGCGCGCCGCGCGCTCCTCACACACATACACACACGCGCGCCGCGCTCCTCACACACATACACACACGCGCGCGCCGCGCGCTCCTCACACCACATACACACACGCGCGCGCGCGCCGGCTCCTCACACACATACACACACGCGCGCCCTTGCGGCGCGCTCCTCACACACATACACACGACGCGCGCGCTGCGCCTTCCTCACACAATACACCCACACGCGCGCGCCGCTCCTCACACACATACACACACGCGCGCGCGCCTCCTCACACAACACACACACCTACTCACGCGAACCTCACACACACAACACAGTCACGCGAAACCTCACAACACAGTCTCGCCCCCCCGCTCTCCCCGCACCACCTCCCCACCCCCCCCGGCCCCGGCACCGGCCCCACTCTGCGCACACCGCGCACCCACTCTGCGCACACCTCGCAACCCCACTCTGCGCTCATCTCGCGCCACCCCCCACCCCCCCCCTTTAACGGGGGGGCCCACACCTCGCCCACCCCACCCTCCCGGTCACTCGCACCCCACCCTCCCGCCTCACCCTTCGCACCCCCACCCGGCACACCTCGCACCCCACCCCCGCGCACCTCACCACCCACACCCCGCGCACCTTCACACCCACACCCGCGCACTCCACCCCACCCGCCGCACCTCACACCCCACCCCGCGCACCTCGCACCCCACCCCCGCGATCTCACACCCCACCCCGCGCATCACAACCCCACCCCGCGCACCTCCACACCCACCCCTGCCACTCGCACCCACCCGCGCACATAATCTCCACCCAACCCCGCCCACACATCGCACCCCACCCCCGCACACACTGTCAACCCCACCCCGCACACACTGTCACCCCACCCGCACACACCTGTACCCCACCTCCCCCACACCGCACCCCACCCCCGCACACACCTGTCACCCCACCGCGCACACCTGTCACCCCCACCCCG